AAACGTTGTACATTTGCTGTTATATTAAAGTTTTTCTTCATTACCCATTCAAGCCGTCTCCAGCCATTATGAAAACATTCAGTTATTGTGGATATTGATCCACTAACCACACGAGAAAGAACATGAGAACATTCAGTTATTGTGGATATTGATCCATTAACCACACGAAAAAGAACATGAAAACATTCAGGTATTGTGAATGATGATCCATTAACCACACGTAAAAGAACATGAAAACATTCAGGTATTGTCGACGAGAAAGAACATGACAACATTTGAACGCGATTCGTTGTAATCCAGAAAGGCAAGCTCATGAAAGATAACTTTTAAGACACATTTTGAAATTCAAATTGTTAAAAAGCCGCAAAAATGAAAGCTGCACAATAAATTACATGAATATATTCTGGTTCTTCTAAACCTCAGTACTTTTCAATGCAGGTCAAAAATTCAGAATTAAAAAAAATAGTGAAAATATTTCAGTATTTTTGAACTTTATTGGGCAGTGGTACGGATACAGCTACACAAAATAATGCAAATTATATAACATCTAAACTAAGATGTCGACAGTAAAAACTCGCAAAACAATCCTAAAGTTTTCTTGAAATTTCTAAGCTGTCTTCTAATAAATCCTGAGCAAATAGTTCACAGCGAAGAAACTCGACTTGAGGTGGCCATGAGGCTCAACGTGACTCGACACTTTACTTTGACAACTTTCAGTATTGGTAATTCTGCCTGTTGTTCTGTATAGCCTAACACGTGATGGATTAGATGTTTTACTCGTATTGTGTTAGTTATTCCCAATATAAGTTATTAACAATTAGGAAAACTAAAATAGAGTACAAACATAACTACTACAGGCAGGAGAAAGTCAGCATTTCACATTTGTGTAAAAGAAAAGGTTTTGATGGTCACTTTCACGAAGACATTAACAATAATAATTTCAGACAGTTATACTAAAGGTATTGAACAATAATATTTCAGTCAGTTATACTAATGGTATTGAACAATAATATTTTAGTCAGTTATACTAATGGTATTGAACAATAATAATTTCAGACACTTATACTAATGGTATTGAACAATAATATTTCAGACACTTATACTAATGGTATTGTTGGTTGAAATCTCTATCGAATTTTGTTTCTTCTCCTTTTGTGTTAAATAAAGTTTGTGTTAATTTAGTTACATACAGTTATTCTATTAGTTTTAACCACATCATCACTGTAACCTAATTTTAATGACTTTGCCAACTCACATTGTTTCACCTGTACTGTTGTTTACACATTATTAACTGGCTATTTTATTTCAAACAAACAGAGGTTCAAGTTTTACGGAAATCTATAAAGTACATCCACATCTCTGTTGTTTACCATCACAATTCTTTACTAACATATCGGTAGCGCCACCTATCTTTACTAGGTCTCTTTTTGCAAACAATTACTTGATTAACCTGTACTTAGTTGTCGCGGTTAGTAGCCTATATGACCACCTAAGTCAAATTATTAATTAGTAACTATTTTCTTATAACTAGATACTAATTACTAGCTAGTTTTTATGGAAGTTTTCTTGATGAAGTCTGGTGTGTTATTCACTCGACTGAGGTCCACCATGTTAGAACTTGAATAACAACTTGGATGTTTTTAAGAGTGGTATCCAGGTTTTGTTGACTTTTGTACAAGGTTGACTGAGTATATTATCAGTTAAGTTGATGTAAAATGGTTGTTTTCCTCTCGACTGGGCCTTCAGATGGTTTGGTATGTACTAACTGCAACCGTATTGTATTCTGGCTTTATATTGTTTATGTAACCTCTGTATGTTTCAGAGAGACTTCTGACTCAGAGGAATATAACTGTACATCTGTAGTTTTCTTCTTGCTTATTCTCGGTGTATATCTTCTTTATTTTCTTCTTTATCAAGTGTTTTGTGTATCTGCTGTTAAAGAGGGTTGTAGTGATGCGTTTTTCTTCCATCTTTGCTTTTTCGGTATTACAGATCTTGTTCATTGTGGAAACTAGACAGTCTATGACGCTTGTCTTTATCCCTGTTGGGGTGGTTTGATTTACTGTTGAGGTTTTTACCCGTATCTGTGAGTTTCTTGTAAACTCTTCACGCCAGTCAGGCGACATGAGGACTTCTACCAAGAAGACAAGATCGCACCCTCTGGATTTCCCTGAGGACTGCAGCAGATTAGCCGCCGAAACGTAAGATAAAACTAGTTAGTAGTTAGCGTCTAGTTATATAAAAAAGATTATTACTAATTATTAGTTAGACTAAGATGATCGAATAGGCTACTAACCACAACAACAATTGATATCTAATTCATTTTTTTCTTATTTTTAATGATTTCAATAAACAATCTGACCGTATTTGCATTTTTATCTGTAAATATATTGCTCACCATCAGTGTCCTTACCATCCTGTTAATATCCAACTTATTTTACATGTGTTAATAATCTACATGATCAGCTTTACTGATTTCTCTATAAAAGCTTTCAGCTGTGTCGTTCTTTGTGATATTCACGTGTTCAGTTTCTTTTATCTACTCTTCAACTACTCACATTTAATCACCTTGGTTAAAAAATGCAAACTATAAAAAGATCTAAAGAGAGATTGTACCTAAAATTATTCTTTGTTTTTCATCAGAAATATTTGTCATCTTTATAGTTAACACACACGTTTCCAGATTTGTCACAGCCGTTTTATAAGTGCATCAACCATCTGTTAGTCCACTAAGTAAAGTGGTTTTGTGAAGACATTTGATTGACCAATTAATTCCCTATGTCATTATTTTAAGAGAAAAAAACACAAAATTAATCAAATACGCCTGAAGATAGTCTTGATATTTCGAATGAATTTTAACATATTTCACAGTTTCTGTTGATGTGCATCACATAGATCATTCTGCATGTGAAACGTGTCTTATCTGTATTGAAATAACTACTAGTATTGTACATACTCAACAGATGTTTTCATCATAAACTGAATATTCGAAAATCTCACTAACAATCTAACTCCCCTCTGGGAGTTAAAACCCTGCCCAATGGGATAAAGAGGAAGATATTTATATTCTTACACACAACATGTCGTTACATTTTAGCTACTCAAACTGTCTTCCAGCACACGCAACTGAGCTTCTATATAATCAACCTATCCTTCAACCACACCTAACACTAGAGAGTTAGCCCTTTGACTAAGTTATTGCTATTTTTAAAACGCTCAGACTATAGTTCTATCGAACCTTGGTAGACAGTAATTTAGCCCTTAGGTTCATTCACTATTATTTTATAACTGCTAAAACGGCCTTTTCGTCACATGTACTAGCTAGTGATTTAGCCTTTTATCTCAGTTACTACTATTTTTTTTTATCCACACAGAGTAATTAATGGGTTAACATTTTTGGTTCATTAGGTAAGAAAACTTTTCCTTTCTCATAAACTGGACGAAGGTTTCGAATTCAGAGAGGTGTTATAACACTAGGTAATAGCAATAAATAGGCGTGTGTTATATACTAATGTTTGTTTGTTTTAGAGCAAGAGTTATCTGCTATGTCCACCGCGGGTAATCGAACCACGGGTTTTAACCTTGTAAGTCCGTAAGCTTACTGCTGTCCCATCGGTGGACTTATGCCAATCCAATATAAGAATAAAAAGTACACATTGAAGCTTCGTAAAAATCAGTTTTTAATTTGGAATATTTAGAAATGCTTGCTGCAATATTTTTTTCTGATTTGCTTGTTTTCTTCACGATTTCTAATGAAAAATATATATCTATAGTTTTCAAAACCACAATCCTGTGTGGTAATGATTTACCTTTTAATCTCTAATGTTTAAAATTATATTACAGTATTTACCAATTAAAACAAAGTAGGGGTAAAAACAAGATTTTCAACGAATTTTAATAATTATCTGGAGACACTTAAAAGCGCATTTTTCTAAATTATTTTTGATAATTTTCCAAGTTTTTGATTTATTACCTTTTCCAACAAAAAATATACCGATGAACAAACAGAAAAAAACGCTATCTATCTATCTACCTACCTACATACATACCTACATATATACGTCAGAAGTACTTACTATTTATTCCCACATTACACACTAGCCGAGGAGGTGTCTGTTTGGTCTGTTCATCTTCAGTTGTCTGATGGCTAGGTTTCAATTAAGCATGATCACTGGTTAAATTTGTTTGGCTGAACTAACTTATATTTTCTTATATCTTGTGTTTATAGCTGTCCAAAAGATTGGGGTAAAGCTGTGGAGAATTGGCCACGGATAAGGAAGTTGTCACGTTCTGACCGAGTCTCACAGCTGTTTATAAAATGTAAACAGTGGTTAATATTATAGTGGCTTCTCCGCAATGACCATGGTCTTGCTTGCCTTACAGAGTCACACTACTTACTGTTCTAGTTCCAGGCAGCTTCTCCTCAGACTTATTTATCACTGGACGGAAAGTGAGCACTGGATTGTTTAAGACTTGATAATCGCCATCTATTGGTATTAGTGAGAACTTCGCCTTATAAAACAGAGCCAAAGAAAGTACACATACATAAGTTTTTATTTGTTTTGTAGTTTTGAAGTACTAACTTGTTTCAGTCCCCAACATTACATTAAATAATTTTAAAAACGTGCAACAAGATTGTAAAAAAAAATTAAACTTACCAAAAAAAAATATAAAAAAGTAAATAATTCTGTTATTACTGTAGGCGATATTGTTCATAGCTTGCTTAAGCACTTTTAAAGTGAGACTTTTATAGAACTAAAACTTAAGGGTTTGAGATAATTAACACTACACAATAATCTGGCATGGCGTATTGTTTAGCGTGCTGGAATGTAAACTAGAGGGCTTATACTGTTAAAAATCGGGTTTTAATACTCACGGTAGGCACATCGCATATAGCCAATTTTGTAGCTTTTCATTTTAAAAACAAATATTGTAGAATACAAGACCAGATGCCAGTCACTCATTTCTACTCTTTAAAACGCTTTTGTGATTTACTGACGTCTGCCAATAGGTCAGAGGTACGTTTATGTACTTAAAAAGTTAAAATATGGGGTTCGATCCCCTGTAGTACACAGAGCACAAACAATCTATTATGTAGCTTTGTGCTGAAACAGATAACTGAGTGATTGAATACTTAAACACATGGTAAAAAGAGACATAAGCTCTAGTTACCTTACAATTTTTTAAAAGTCTAGGTAAACTTTATATTTCATTTCTAACACAATTATAAGTTTGTCAATCAGAAATATATTTCAACTAATTAAACTTGATTATGGATTTTACATTCCACGAGAAACAAACATCCCCACGTTATTCTTAGGATTCTCTATATCCGTACCACTTCATTTATTTTTATTTTTCACACTGAAAAGAAACAGGAGGGATTTCATTAAATCTTCGACAAAAAACAACAACAACAAAAACACTGCTAATGTGGATATTCGAAATTCATTCTCTTTTGTTTTAGTGAAACTACAACATCTCTGACTTTAAAGTTATCTATAAATGTATTGAAAAAGAAACCGTTAAGGACGCTATTTTATTCTGCCAATAATCAAAGTATTTTTTCCATAGGCAAACAAACTTGTTTTTAAATACGCTAACAAGACAAATATTAATTTAACTGTAGGAACATAAATCACACCTTAGTTTCAAACATCATAAAGGTGTATTATGAAAGCACCTTCAGATGTTAGATGTTAAACACCATATTGGTTGTTGACTGACTTCTCCTTTCTTTACACACCGTAGTTTTTCTGAATTATCTAAGCTTAGTGATGAAGTTGGAGTTCTCCGAAACTTATCTAACGCACCAACCAATGATAAATACAATGTCAGCCTAGGCTTTACGTTTCTTGCTGAAATTTACAATTTTGGCGACAGGAGAGAAAATATATTCAATAGTTTACTCGCTGAGTAACGTATAAGAATAAATTAGTAGCATTAATGCTGCATATTCTTTAAATACCTATATAAATATGGGTTTACTGTAGTGAGTAAACGACAACACAAGTACCATGCACATAACCTACAAACCTAGTCTCATTCCTCGAGTTATTCTTCTCCAGGGCTGGTGATTAGGAATGGATTTTCCCGAAACCAATCTGACTCAGTGATAAGTGTATTGAGAGAGTACCTTTAGGAGTATTGTTTAAAATGTTAAAACTCGACACGAGTGTTTTGTCAGAACACCTCCAAAAGTTTTTTTTAAGATGTTAAACTCTACACGAGTGGTTTGTGAGAGTGTTTCAGGTGAGTTATTTGGTGTGATCCAACCACATACAGTTATATTGTACAAGTTGACTGTTATTGATTGTCTCGAGATCATTTCTTGCACACACAAAAAAAGATTTACTTGCCACCAGTTTCCTACTGAGTTCAAATGGAATGAAGCAAATTGAGAACAGAGTGTATTTACGAAGATAAAAAAAAGGTGCCTTAAGGAAATGCAACAAAAGACAGGACCGAATGACACAGTGAATAAGGGTAAATCGGTTTCAGTTGTATTGGGTCAGCTCGTAACATGGAAAGAAACTCTGGAACGAAGGCGCACAAGAAGCTTCGGATTACCTAAAATGCATATTAGCATAAAACCATGGAAGTAGATGGAACAGCAGGCGCAACTGACTCAAGGTTTAGAGCCCCAGGTCCCCAACTTATGAAAGATCCACTTGTGAATATAATACGATATTAAACACTTTTTGGGACCCATTAACCTGCCTGATACACATATGCACTTCGTAGAAGGCCTACGTATAATTGAAACTCTTTCAGGCTTCCCACGGGGTAGTAACTAGAGGGTCCCTCATACTCCCCCTCACCTCCTCCCCTATAATATTAAATGAAACAAATTGTGTTCTAATTCAGTTTATTTTTTGTCTTCTTACATGAACATTGGACTAAACAAATGAAAATTTTACCACATTGCTGACATACAGCGATCATTAGAATATTTAATGCATCTACTTTTATTTTGTCGTTATTACTATTTTTATTTTTAAGTATATGATCTTATTACAATGATTATTGTGCATTGTTGCCTTAGTACGTAGATTTAGTACTAACCTAAGCCTTCTGGGTTGGCCGAAATTATTGTTAATAGCTATGGTCTCCAACCGACGAAACAATGAATTCTAATCATTATAAGTAATGTAGTTCGATCAGTACATCTAATTAGCTCATTACAAGGTTTTATCTGTGTGTGTGTAGGGACTGGGAGTGATGATGGCAAAATCTTCACGCCCCAGGACCTTCATAAGCCTAGGTATGCTACTGCATAAAACAATTTAATTACGTACTTTCATTAAAGTTAATGCATTCATACAGTTTAGTATTAACAAAACTAATATTACTACTGTACCATGTGAAAACAGGCTAAAATTAATATCTAATTATAACAAAAGAGGTTCGAAATTTAGGTTAATGTAGATAAAAAAAAGAGTATCGTTTGAGATATACTTATTAAAAATCAGACTGATTTCCAATAACAAGATTGTGCATTAGGGCAAATTCTGTATACATTATCTAGAGACAAGGGACTGCTTTGTTGTGGAATGTGGAGAAAATATTAGAGTAGCTAGAATTCATGGAGAGGTTTACACAAAATTATGAGTATCATATCGTTCCATCACTAATACTGTTTGTTTGTTTGTTTTGA